AACCGTAGTAGTTGACATACTTAGAATGAAAGTTGCTGAACATTAATCATTATGTACGGTACCGAAGAAGTTGATAACTTGAAAATACCCCCACTCTCTTCAGGAGAATAAAAAATCCGGAAGTTCTGTCTTTTTTTAAAGTTTAAAAAGGAAAGTCCTATATGTAAGAAAAATTATATTACGCGTTCATTTTCCCGTAACTGTTTCATCATAACATTGCCTCGACCATAGGCGTTTGATGTCAGTAAATTGTTATGCAGAGATCTGTCTTAGGGGATATAACACCATGTAGCCAGGTGAAAATTAACACTGCGTTATATCCCAGAAGATTGAAATCTTCATAGACACCGCTGCAAGAAACTCAAATCCAGCGCCTTCATATGTCTATAAATATTGCGAATACTCCTTTCACAGTGGAATCTGAAGGATAAACACCATTAAAATCTAAGCCAGTTCTTTTGGCGTTACATGCTGTCGCTATATAAGAGATTTCCCCAACAAAATTCTTTCTTCAGTCTATTCCATATCTACACCATCCGAGTTAATTTAAGATAAAAACTTAAGCGAAGATAAAAGTGATGCAGACATGTACAGAAATAAACGTAGTTCTTCAGAACAAATATTTCACGAATTTTCATAGAGAGAGAGAGAGAGAGATACTATTAACTTGGTCACATGAATGTTTATGGGATTCTAAAAGCATTCTTTTTTCTCAATACATGAGCTGACAGAATATTGATCAATCACATATCTTTCGTTATCTTTGCTACAGATTTTGGAGTTATTTCCTGAAAAGCGAAATCTGCGCATTTGCGTGCCCAGTCACTTTTGAATAAGCAGCCGGTTCTTAACGGAATATATTATAAAGAACTTTTTCATGTGGGTATCAAGATACCACTGGGAAGACCAAGGCGTATGTGGGTGGACAATATTAAAATGGATCTTAGAGAGATAGGATGGGATGGTATTGATTGGATTGATCTGGCTCAGGATAGGGGCCAGTGGAGGGCTCTTGTGAACACGGTAATGAACCTTCGGGTTCCATAAAATGCTGGGAAATTCTTGAGTAACTGCACAATTTGAGGCTCCTCAAGAAGGGCTCAGCTCCAATGGTAAGTAAGTAAGTACGTATCACAATGTGTTACTTTAATCTCATCTCCCACCACTGACAATGTGCGGACTCTCTCCGTTGATGTGGAAGGAGAACCATTGCCACAGAATACAGAATTTTGCATCTCTAAAGATCATTTTTTCATTTAGCAATACAACTTCATCAATAGCTGCGTCTCCCTTTAAGTTTTACGGACCAAAATTTTAAATACATTTTTCATTTCCCTCATGCATGTTATATGCATCTCTTACTCCACGCTCCTTGATTTAATCTCCCCAGAAAAGTTAGGTAAATGTGCATCATAAAACTATTTCGAGAAAATGAGCTCTCTCTCTCTCTCTCTCCCTCTATGGCTCTACAGCCTTTTGGACCTTGGCCGCTTTTTCAGGTTATTAATCTTATATACAGTCGGAAGGACTCGTTGAACGAGGGGTCAGCCAATCGCAAGGCCACTACCTACACACAGAACAACACAAACACAGAATAAACACACATACAGACATTCATGCCTTGAATGGGATTCCGAACTCAAGACATCAGTTTTCGAGCGGGAGAAGACGGTTCATGCCTTAGACAGTGCCGCGGGGGTACGCGGCAGCGTATTTGGTTAAGGCACTATTCTACAAGCCGGAAGGTCGCGGGTTCTATTCCCGATGACGTGGACTTTTTAATGGCCGCGCCATAGCTCAAGCGCTTAGTCGCTGGCTTCCTAACGCGCCGGCCCGGGTTCGATCCCGGGTCTGGTCAAGTGGGATTTGTGATGGACAAAGTGGCACTGGGGCGAGATTTCTCCGAGTACTTCGGTTTCCCTTACCAATCTTCATTCCACCAAATTTTCCCTCAACATAATCACTCGGGGCAGGCTACAATAGACCAATCAGTGGCCACCGTACCGAGTGGACCCAGTTGGACTCCACACCCCACTAAGCGAATTTAAAAAATATAAATAAATATGGAGGCACGCGGTAGCGTAGTCGGTTAAGACACTATGCTACAAGCCGGAAGGTCGCGGGATAGAAACCCGATGAGGTGGATTTTTTCAATATACTTAGTCCTTCCAGCCGCTCTATGGCCCTGGGGTCGCCTCAGCCTCTAACAGAAACGAGTACCAGGAATATTCTTTGAATATCCTTGGGGGCAAAGCGCGGCCGGCACCTAAGGCTGACAACCTTACCGCTATCTATGAGCCGATTATGTAGAAAATGTGGAAACCTCAACATCTCACAACCCTATGGGCCTTCACTGCCTGTTACAGGGATAGCTTTACTTTTTTACTTTACTTTATGTGTATATGTATGTACGAGTACAACTGTTTCTATTTATAACCTTCCTACGTGGAAGCTGGTCATGTTATTTCTCAGTTCCTTCAGGCAAATGTTGGGATGGTACCCCAAATTACGTTGTGACTGCTTCCTTCCATGTACCTTACAATTAATTACTCACTAATCACTCTATAATTCGATGCTATATAGCCTGCAATATTGACAATGTTCTTTAATAAAATACTAGTATAAATATATTAATTGTAGAGATATCTATTGCATAGTAAGCATTTCAGATTTTTCTAGATTTTTAGGTTGCAGTACTCGTATTTTTTTCTTACAGCATTTCTGGGAATAACTAGTCGCCTGATTTCCTCTAATACGACACGGACGGTATAGAAAACGACGCCTCCAACAATTCTTCATTACCGCGGAAAAGTGTTTACTGAGTCGTTGCCTAGCAACGATAGAGGGATACACAGACACACAGATTCTCCATTGATACAATACGAACGGAAGAGAAAACGACGTGTCCAACAATTCTTGCATTGTTCGTATACATTCATTGCCGTTTAATAAAACTTGGTTCAGATATTCAAAAGTTAATAAAGGACGGATGCACAGACACACAGACAGCATGGAGATCGCATAAGCCTACTTTTATTTTTTTCAAAATAAAGAAAATAGACTAATAACGTAAGTTCCTTACTCCGTGACCGGCCATGTTCCGACTAAGAAACTAAGATCCAGGCATACATTTTGAGGTTAATATGCCCCTTGACCAGAGATGTCGCACACCTCAGGGAGTAATATTAGAGAGTGATTCTGAATTATTGTCTGGTTTTGCGAGGCATATAAACGGAAACGCCGATAATAACTTAGAATCACGTGTATATGAGCACAGATGAAGGACAGACTGATAATTACCGGAGGAAAATGGAAGAAACTCAGAAAAGTCTTGCTCAAATGACACTTCATTCACCACGAATATTACGAAGTCTAGAGGAATCGAACCAGAGCCGAACTATGGCACAATTAATTTTTAAAATATTCATAAATTCCATTCTTTGGGAAGAGGGATGCGATTCCGCGGCATTGTTGTTCATATCGCACAAATATAATGATTCCATGAACCCAGATCTTCATTTCCTTGACTTGGGCTTCTAGTACCAGACTTATTTACTTACTTACACGTAGAACTGAGCCCTTCTGGAGGAGCCGCCAATTCTGCAGCTACTCAAGAATTTCCCAGCATTTTATGGAACCCGAAGGTTTATTAGCGTGTTCACAAGAGCTCTCCACTGGTCCCTATTCTGAGCCAGATCAATCCAATCAATACCATCCCATCCTACCTCTCTAAGATCCATTTTAATAGTGTCCACCCGCCTACGCCTTGGTCTTCCCAGTGGTCTCTTTCTTTCTGGCTGTCCCACCCATATTCTATACACATTCCTCGTCTCCCCCATTCGTGCTAAATGCCCTTCCCACCTTATCCTCCTTGACTTGATCATTCTAATTATACTTGGAGGAGAGTACAAGTTATGAAGCTCCTTATTATGCAGTTTTCTCCAACCTCCTGTCACTTCATCTCCTTTCGGTCCAAATATTCTCCTCAATACCCTGTTTTCAAACACCCTCAGTCTATGTTCCTCCCTTAATGTCAGAGACCAAGTTTCACACCCATACAGAACTCTGGTACCAGACATTAGGAGTTAATTTCCTAATACAAGTTTCCAAATAAACACCAAGAGCGTATCCACTGTGTCAATCAGAATCCAATGATTTGGAACTGGATACATATCTGAAAGATACTTATAAGCATGAAAAAATAGACAAATGCTGAGTTGGAAAGAGCTTAGATCTTGGTAACCTCCCAGGTGACCCTTGCTAAGTAAGTCCCGACGATTTGCATTATGGGCCCGTAATATACACTGATTGAACACTGTGAATTTTTCCTTTGAAAACAACAATAACATGTCTCAATCCGAATGCACTATAGAAATAGCATGCACGTAGCAAGCCACATACGTGGGGGCAGTTACAATTTCTTACTAGAAAGTTAGAAAGCTATATTTAAACCCCCTACACGTGACAATATTTTTACGGACCTCTCCTTTTGCTCACGATAGAAAAATATTTTTCAAGTAATTTTTTATTAATTTTGGTATACTTTCTTCTCTCTAACTCTTTACAAAATGCATCCTTCCTCAGCACAGCAATAGAGTTGGCTTTCTTGTCAATCGAAATTTGTTGACATATCACCACCTCTGTGGTCTAGTGGTCAGAGTTCCTGGCTACAGATCCAGAAGTCCCGCGTTCGATTTCCGGCTCTACCAGATTTTATGAGAAGTATTGGGTCTGGAACTGGGTACACTCAGCTTCTTGAGGATAATTGAGGAGCTATTTCAAGGAAAATATCAGTTCCGGTCTAGAAATCCGAGATTAACGGCCGTGGGGATCCGTTGCGCTGACCAAGTGACACTCTCTATCCGCTAAAGTTGGCACTAACTTCGTTGACAAGCGGCGGTCGCTCGATCGGTATAGTTCGCTTGCGGATTACAGAGCAATGGGTTTGTTTTTTTGTTTGTATCTCTTCCTGATGATGATCGAAGAAATAATAAACAAACTGTGGTTTCATAATCGTTTTAATTCAGCACATTTGGTCCACATATCTTAAATGTAATTCATAAGTTCTGTGTTACAGTTTTAGAATAAAACTTCGAGTTTTACCCGAACCATACCAATCGTATATCTATGATGAAACCATAGATTGAAACTAAAGTGTAATGGGGAAGCACATTTCCTCACGATCACTTTCTTTCTGCTTACAATATGTAGTATTCTGTCATGAGTGTATTTTACTCTACACAGTGGTTCCTCTAGTGGAAGTATTCCCCATTATTAGTATGGAGGTTCCATTGTTCTTCAGATCAACAATTGGAGAATGGATTCCTGTGATAGAACCACAGTTACAGGTTTAGGACATTGTCTCTACTTTTTAATTTACTTGTTCTATGCAGCACACATTTTCCTAGTACTCTCAATAAATGATAATTTTGTTATATTCTGAATAATAAATTACAATCTGTATAGCCTATAGAATATACTTTTTATTATACTAATGAATTTATTCATGGTTGCAACAGAAACTAGATCCATATTTTGTTTCTTGGGGAGGCAGACAAAAGAGTATTGAATGTATAATCATAGGTAACTGATAATTTTAGTGTTGTTATCCTACTTCATAAAGTGTAACGTATTGCATATTATGTTATACATTACACTAAAACACAGTGACTCCAGTTGTCAGCACTTGTAAATTGATAATATCTAATGATTTAGAGTCCGTTTCAATGATTTCTTATATAGTAAGTTGAATCTCATACACATATGTTATCTCTGTAAATTTCCTAATTGTACAGAAGTATCAAAGGAAGAGTATTATATTAATAAATTTCCAAACCATGCTAAATTGTATAAGGGCGCCATGTACTCAATTCTTGGCGCTTAGAAGATAAATTTTCTCTTACACCTTGTCTAATATAGTAAAGTATATATTTCACCTCCATCAAAATAGGATATCATGTCACCATGAGTATTATATAGAGAATCACAGTGTAACATTTGTATGATTCAATTTTCTGGACTTTATGTTATGCATAGGACGTAACCAGCCTCAGTTCCGAAGTCCAGTCTGGACATGGTGAAGCTCAAGAAGCTGCAGTTTTAATTTCGCTTTAAACAGGAGCTCCAAACGGCGTTTCTTGTAATTGCGTTTTAATCTCATTACATATTTTGTATTCAGATCTAGTACTGCAATGCATGTTGTTGTGACTTCTTTAAGTAAACAATGGACAATAATTTGGCACGAATTTTACACAATTAAATCCCAAAAGTTTTAATTACCATGATCATTCCTTAATAAAATTTTACTCAACGTAAAATGAAATTCAGGTAAAATAATGAAGCGCAGTTTGAAGAACACGATTTTAATTTTCGCAAAAACTTTTCTGTGGATACGGGCGATCCTTTTAACTTAAATCGACTCTCATAAATTATGAATCATTTTTATCACGTCGAAATGATGTAAAATTTTGTTACAGATATGTAGATACATGTATGTTCGAATCGAAGAATAAAAATACCTTGCATCTGTCCTCTCTGAATATGACAAGATATTAGGGTAAATGTTCTAAAGATTAAGCGACACGTCCTGCAAAAGCGATGAATGGTACATAAAAGAAATTATAATTGCAACTCGTTGAGGGTCACGCGTTCAGCTGTCCCCATAACAAACTCTGTTACAAATGTAGGAAACAGTCACAAGAGGAATTAATGATTTGCTCTAGTGCAATCACAGCGCTACGGTCACATGGGATTTATCTGGCAGGCAGAAGTCTTCATACACTTAGTAGAAGGGACACAATATTTAACATTAAATATTACAGCCTGCTGTAGGCTTCGTGTTCGCAAATAATGACCAATACCGCATGTCAGAACGCTCGTGTACCCTGTTTCCGAGAAACAAACGGTCACTAAGATATATAACGGAAAGAATCGATTTCCTAGGTCTACCGTATATCGATTATTTAGAGGACTCGATCGTGACTTACAGTTGCTTCACATTCAAAGGTACTTCAGTGATCCCTTGAATTATCTTTGTTGTGTATTTAGAGTGTCAATATTAATTTATTTTATTAGAATTAAATACCACGAAACAGATACCGGTATGTATATACATCAGATTATGATTTTCCGTTCTTCGATAGCATGTTACCAACCTATCGGAAGAACCAGCCGTTTCCATCTACATTTAGTTCTGAACGTGGTCTCTTTCTTTCAGGTTCTCCGAACAAAATTTTGTATCCATTTCTATCTTGAAGATTGATGCAGTAGGTCTCCTAGGTCTCTATAATTACACAGTGTCCTAACCCAGAAGGTCAAAATCTAAACTTCTACCACAGTGGAAACTTCAAATTACAAGCATATCCTACATACGTAGATACAATTTCTGTTGGTGTTATCTAAACTAAATAGTCGCTTTTGGTCATTATTTGTGAGAAACATTTGACTTGGGATATGCAATAAATATATTCGTGTATATAGCCTAGAATATGTGGAAGTTCGGAATGGCAACAGGGATAGCGACTTTCCACAGTTGACATCTAACAAGGGTAGCAGTATCTTCTTAAGACGTGACGCTTGTTCGCCAACCAGCGTGATACATGACGGAGGATTCTGATTCAAAGTTACACAGTCACTCACCACTCCATTTCACACTGGTTGATTCCTGGTCCACGCGATTCACTCAGCAGAAGATTAAGAATACTAAAGCTGTGTTTCTTTGCTAGAAGACTTCTTTATCTCTATTCCAAGCATAACGAGTGTCGTCTCGTTTGTAATACGTAACCGAGTTTAGTTTATAAAATATGTAGCATAATTGTTGAAAGCTTTTGTTCTCATTCGAAATGAATCTGCACATAATGGAAGATGGGGCGACTGTCTCTATTGAATACTACTGCAGTACTACACCGGGTATAGGCTTCATGTAGTCAATGGCAAGATACGAAGGAATGTTCTCTGTAGCTATCATTTACCTTGGTGTGATGGACTTCAATTCCTGTTGGTGCTTGTTGCCCTGAAATTAATCACGGACAAATACGAACTCGTTGTAGTGGTTCCAGCGGTTCTCCTCTGAATCGACTCCGGGCTTGAGCTGCTCAGCCGCCGCTCCTCCGGCAGTTCCGGAGCCGCAGCTACCTGCCAGTTTGAAGCCCTGATCCTGGAGCATGTCGAACGCTTGTTCGATGAAGGAATGCTTGAGGAAGAAGCGCGATGTGTAGCGGTCGGTGATGCCGTGGTCAGGATCGCGGCTCTCGTTCAGCGTCTCCCCGAAGACGTCACGGCACAGCGTCACGCGTCCACACACCAGGATGCGAGACAGCTTCCGAAACTTGACGTCAGCCAACCCATCTCTGCCGAAAGCGAAACTGCCTCGGTAACCTACGGTGATGTATCCTGGAGCGGAACTTTTGATGCCGCAACCTGATGCTGGTACCACGGAACTGTCCGTGTACGACTCCACTGCCTCGACCATCGCCGGCAGACGGAAATACAGGGCCTCCTGTCGTAGACGCTGTTTCTCTCGGAAACTTTCGGGCAGAACAAGGGCTTGGTTTCGCAAGAAGTCGAGCACGTAGCGGAAGAGGACGCCATCACGGTCAACGAAGTATTTTCCCTTGGCGTCTCGCGGTGGGGGAGAAGTCTTGCCGGAGAACATGTGAGCCAGCAAAGAGTCTGGCTCCCGGGTTAGTGTACTGAGGGCCGTGGTGTAGAAGACGCCTCCCACGTTGAGTTCCACTACAGGCGAGAAGTCCGCCATGTCTGCAGTGGAGGTGTCCTCTTGCATGTCTGTGCCTCAACGCCACGAAACTTCACTCTGAGCCATCACAGACACTAGTGTTTCTCTCCGCTGGTCGACCGTCCGAATGAGCGACTAGTGAGTGACTCTCTGCTGCGACGCCTAGCGCCTCTCCCTCTCTCACACATGGATACACGCTCTCTCTCTCTCTCCCTTTCTCCGTGCACGACCCACTCTTCCTATTTCTCACAAGTCTCATTTCCCCTCCATTTTGCTTCTATAGTTCCAGGTTTCTACATCTGTGAAGTTCCCTCTCTCTCAGTTTTAATATTCTTTTCTCTCTCATGAAATTCCGAGTTTTGCGCTCTGACTCACTCTGTCTCGCTCTTTCTTTTAACCGTGTTTAGTGATCAATACAACGTACCGACTGGCCGCGAGCAACCCGGCGCACGTCGGCGGCGCACGCAGCGCAGACCCCCTCCAGTTGCGACACAAAATTCTGTTCGTGATTTAGACGAAACATTTGCGACCACCTTCTATCTATCTATCTATCTATCTATCTATCTATCTATCTATCTATCTATCTATAGCTCTACAGCCCTTGTGGACCTTGATCGCTTTTTCGCTTTCTTAATCTATGAACAATCGATAGACTCCTTGGACGGGGGATCAGTCCATCACAAGGCCGCTACCTATACACAGAACAACATAAACACAGAATAAACGCACACAGACATCCATCCCTCGAGTGGGATTCGAACCCACGAACCCAGTGTTCGAGCTGGCGAAGACGGTTTACGCCTTAGACCGCGCGGCCACTGTGATCGACCACGATCACCTTCATGTAGCCAAATTTCCAACAAATCCTTCTATCCTCAGGCATTCAACTCCCGCCACGTAATCCATTGGATGACACAGTTTACATAAACAATTCTATTCGGGCTCTGGAAGTTCATATGTCCTCAAGATTGAATCTATGCCACATAGTTAGTTGGACCTGTCTGTCTATCCAGCTAGTTAGAAATCTACGTAGTCGTTTCAAGTCAAAGTCATGTTGCGACTGACGGTGAGTCAGTCTGTCTTGGTGTCGAGCCCCGGCTGGGGCTCATGACCATATGTTACTTTTTAAGTGAAAGTTACTGTCCTGTCCACGAGGGGCGACCTCTCTGACGAGAGGTCGGATCTGTCATTTGTCAGTCATAGTCGACAGTATTAGTCCATTGTCACTATGTACACTTATTTACAGTTGAATCTTAATATCTAGTGTGTATAATACATACAAGCCCTCTGTCAGTCTAGGCTCAGTAACAGCAGACTATGCCCTATTTCTAGTAGTATTTGCTACCACGGCCGTGCGTAGTCCTATACGCTTTCACTCGAGCGTATAAAGCATATATAGCTAGCTAGTTAGCTAAATAGCTGGCCGAGCCATAGCTCAAGTGGTTAGTCACCGGTTTCCTACTGCGGCGGCCCGGGTTCAAGCCCGGGTCTGACCAAGTGGGATTTGTGGTAGACAAAGTGGCTCTGGGGCAGGTTTCATCTGAGTACTTCGGTTTCCTTTGCCAAATTCTACATCATCATAATCACCGGAGGCAGATACAATAGGTCAATCAGTGGCCGAAGTGCCGAGTGGACCCAGCTGGACTCCACCCCCCACTATGAGAATTAGAGAAATAGCTAAATACCTGGCGTTTATTTGTACATATATTCACTTGAGTACATAGGTTACAACCCATCTACGTATATTAATTCCATCATACATGGTATATATATAGTCAACTAGCATTGATTTTAAAATTAGCGTAGATATGTCACTGCAACCGGAATCATTGCAATTGTCCATTGAAACAATTCGCACTCATGCAACCTGTCTCACTCAGAGTAGATGCGAGTTCCAGATCTACTATTTCAGTGAATTTAGCTTATAATGTATTCGACATAAAGAGCAACATTAATGCATAATCACTCAAATGGCCATAACTAAGCCGTTCATTCCAGCTGATAATATGGGGCGTGGGGTTCCGCGTGACGTAGTAATATTTGATTGTGTTAAAAACTCTCAGCGTATGCACTCCATTTTTGAGTAAACTTGCAATCTTGATATGACACTTTCTGTTCAAGTACCAAACTTATATAAACTATTTCTAACATAGTTCTGAAATAATTTTATGTTTACGCTTGCAGCTTCGTGGACGATTCAAAGTTGGCCATGAATGCCTTGTATTAACGTTTGAGGGATACGAGTTTCTGACGCGGGAACAGTATTAACATCACTGAGCACAGAATTCGAGAGATGTTCATAATTGGAAAATTGTAATTGTTGCGTTTGAAATTATGAAATACCAGAACAGACGGTTATAGCGTCCAACAGACGTCTGAACTCACAAAGTAAGTACATCAGGTAACATGGGGCATGCGATAGCGGAGTTGGTTGCTAGAAGCCGGAAGGTCGTGGTATCGAATCTCAATGAGGTGGAGTTCTTCAATTTACCTAATCCTTCTAGCCGCACTATGTCCCTCGGTTCGACTCAGCCTCTAACAGAAATGAGTACCGGGAATTTTCTGGGGTGGTAAAGGGTGGCCGGTGCGTAAGGCTGAGAACCTTATCGCCATATATGAGCCTATTGTCTAGAAAATGTGGAAACCTCAACATCTCACAACCCTATGGGCCTCCACGGCCTGTTGCAGGAATACATTTTCTTTACATTTTATAGGGGATAACATGTTCAACACGTTTTAAGATCAACAAATTTTTCCCGGAATTATATTTTCCTATTTTATAAGTATTTATTGAATCTTCTTAATTTTCGCCTTACCTTAAATAAGGACCAGTAAGTCATATACGTGACAGGTAATTGTTCCTCTGTGCCCAGAACTGATACAATAGTATTTCGTGTGGGTTCGGTGTTGTCAGCTTGGAACAGATATTACGAAAGATAAAACTTAGAATTACAGTCTCTCAACACTCAGTTTAGTACCTCGTTTCCTTCACTTTCCTATTCTCTCGCGTTCGTTTTATAGGCGCCATCTCTGTACAAGCGTCAGGATGTGCTTGCAATACCTGTCACGAGTAATTGAACGGTAGCTGTGATGACCACAGGCAATGTCTCTCCAGCCTTCTGCTCCGAAGTAGAATGAAGCTCAGAATCGCGAGAATATCAAATTTTCATACTAAAATAGGAATATATGCACAGGTTTAATGACAGCAGGTAAAGACTATGATTCTCCCCTCCACGGAATGATGCTTTCATTAGGTACTTGGCTGTCATCCGGCCAGGAGCCGGGATAGCGTAGACGGAATAGCGACTGACTACGGGCTGGAGAACCGAGGCGTCGGAGTTCGTGTCCCGGCAGGATCAAGAATTTTTCTCTTCTCCACGTAGTCCTGACCGGCTCTGGGGCCCTCCCAGTACTTTATCCAATGGGTAAAAAGCAAAAAAAAGTAAGTAAAGCTAACACTGTAACATGCCGTGAAGGCCCATGGGGCTGTGAGACGTTGAGGGTCCCACATTATCTAGACCAGTGGTTCTCAACGGGAGCCATATGCACNCCTTGTTTTTGTGTACCTTACTTAGAAGGGACAGAACCTATTGTACTTAAACCACAGCCTTAGATCTGGGAATTCCAAGTACCAGTAAACAGGTAGGCACCTTCTCAGAACGGGTAGAGCCCTAACGAATATTATCCTTCATTTTCCCAAATATCTCCCCCTCCTCTCATGAGTTTTACCCCCACCTTTTCAGTAAATTTCAGGTGTTCTTCAGTTCAGTATTCGAAGTGCTTGGAAGAAGACATTTTTCTGCGCAAGTTCTGTTATTGTGGCAGTTCTCTACTTTGTAGGTAAGTTACAAACTCCAGCTACTATTTTTTGACAAATAAACATTACATTTCATAATGACTTGAACTTTCATTACAAATAAATTATTAGCTTTCAATAGAATTTCAATGCCCTCCCTCTTCAAGAAAAAATATTATGAATTGATTACAGCAGTTTTATATTTATTTGAAGTAGAATGGCTTTCAAAGTAATTTTTATGAATATTGACTTCTAAAATTTTCCACATCTTCAAAAAATTTAGAAATAGGGCAGTCATAAAATCAATAATCAATATTACATTTATTATAATTAAACAATATGAGGGGGGGCACAGAACTGAATGAGAAAGTCAGAAGTGGGCCACGA